GGGGGGGTGTTCTCTTGATGTGGTTAGTCTGTCATTGACCTTGTTTGGTTATAGCAGGAGTTGAATTAGAAAATGAAAACACGTTTCATCTTAGGCACATTTCATCCCATCTTTTACTTTCCTTAGGAAAAAATAATCCCCTCCCCAAGGGAAGTCAGGTTTCCAGACTTGGTGCTCAATCTCCTTTCATTCTACAATAGTCTTCTCCTCCAGTCTTCTGGCCCCCTACTTTGCAATTCCCAACCCGCCGAGGACTGGGCCGGGACCAGTGGCTGAAACTGAGTGACAAGGGCTTGTTGAGCCGTTGTGTTGATACCATCAAAGGGAACAGATGGGGGTTTCTGAGAGCCCAGTTATTTAGATCATTCATGATTTGCTACTATTAGGAACAGTCTTAATGAGAGAACGCTGCCTGAGAAATGCTGATTAATAAAGGTAACTGAGGTTGTTGTTTTCCCCGGTGTTCTAGCAGGGAGCGAAATCATATAGTGACTAAAAATGCACCAAATTATTACTTGAAAACAAACATTTTGAGACTTCAGATTTCAGACAGTGGCAACCTCAGAGAGCTCTCTCTGCAGAGTTGTACCAGCGCCAGTGTCGCCCTGCTTTAGTCAGCATTCTAAATGTGATGCTTGGGCCTTCTAGAAGGGATGACATTTAACATTTCTGTGCTGGACAATACCTAAATGTGACTAGATAAACATGCTTTTTTCTTATTAGGGGCAGGCTTCCTTTCCTTTATTCCTTCTTCCTTTTTTGCATCTTCCATTTTAATTTACATTATCCTTGACTGCTATGATTTGCAACTTAGAAGTGGTTTGGTTCGGCGGGGTGCTTCTTTTTGTATTATTTTAGACAAGAAGCAAACATTTGAAGAGTTTTATAATGGGGCATTCTGTGCCTCCAAATTTCCTTTCCTTGAGGTCCCACTCGTGGCCTTCTCCAGCTGAGCTGGAGCACCTGGAACTAATTTCAGGGTTGCCTGGCTGAGCCCCACACGGGTATTTGAAGTCTGCGTCCTCCCTAGACTCAAGCCCATTTCACCACCTCTGAAGGTGAGTGCAGGCTGATATTAATTAACAGTGAGCTGATTCACTGGCATCTTCCAGTCATTAAAGTAAATATTTGGCTTAAAACAGCCTCTTCCCACCTCAACTATCCGACTCTTTGCCTCTTCCCTTACTCCGTCAGGGTTGACTCACCGGTCCTTGCCTGGTACATGTGGCCTAAGAACAGAGTTCGAGTCGGAAAGGGAAGTGAGCTACTCTTCCACATCTGCAGGCGAGACTGTTTAAGCAGCAGGCCGGCCTTCAGGATGACTACATTGTTTTTCTGTCCATTGTGGCGCTGACTCAGCATCACTTGGTAAACCCTCTCGAGAAGGCTGGGTTTCTCTGGTTTAATTATCATTTTGGAGCTTTCTGAGAACTCTTAGGAACTGTTCATTCGGTTTTATACATCTGCCAACTAAAAGTCCTGTTTCCTCTTGATGCTAGCGTCCCCTCTGGCATAATGTGCAATAACAGGCTACCAGGCTGTGAGCAGAGAGTGTGTTACTTATGTCCCCTAGTGGGAATTTCATTGTTCTGTACTACAGAGATTGTGGAAGGACTTTAGACACAAGAAACATTTCCTGGCACATAATCTTTGGCCTCCGACCCACCTCCCCCCAAATATTCTAGAAAAGCACCCTGAAAAGGAGAAAAGAACTTTTAAGGATAAACAGACATATTTTTATGACTGAGTTGGGATTTTGGTTCGCTTGTTTTTGTTTCTTCCTGTAAACAAATACTCAGATGTCCACTTCATTGTATGACTAAGTTGGTATTATTATGTTGAGACTGGGTGTGTGTACGTGGGTGTGTGTGTGTTGAGACGTGGGTGTGTATGCACACATGTATTTAGAATGTTAGAAAAGGCATTGCAGCCTAAGGTGGAAGGAGAGATGGCTTTAAAAACAACCACCTATATGAGGCAAGCAGGAAAAGTGGGAGACTTGTGCCGGTGACCTAAACAGTAATTGCAAAGGGGTGCCTGCTGTAAATGGACCCTATGCATCATTGTTTCTCTGAATTAGAGGATTCCTTGCTGAAGGCACAAGACCATTGAAGGAAGTAAAGCATCTGGTTTGTTTTGTAATGAGAAGCAGGAATGCAAGGTCTATGCTCTTAATAATAAACAAACAGGACATTGTATGCCATCATCACAGGATGTCCTTCCTTCAACAAAGGACTGACTGGGGCTGGAGGAAAAGCCGGACAGGGCTCCCAACGACAGGGCTCCGAATGAGCCCCACTAATTACTGCCTCTGTCTGCCCTCCTCTTGGAGTGACCAGTTCAACATTCCCTTTAACTGGGAAGCGATTAATGCACTATATGGCTTACACACTTCTCGGAAGTCTGGCTGTGGGTTTTGGGGGGAGAGAAAAGGCAAAGAAACGTTAATCTGTAGGATGATAACTTTTTCCTATTTCCCTATTTACTAAATAGTTGAAAAGGGGAAGTTAGTCCTGCCAAATTTGAATGCAGTTTAGTTAGCAGGAGAAATGGAAGCTTACAGGTCCGTGTGTGTGTGTGTGTGTGTGTGTGTGTGTGTGTGTGTACATGTACACACATATCAATGCTAAATAACATCTATCAACATGTGATAGATTATGCTATGAAAATAAAGTCAAAATCACAATTATTTTTTTATGTGGCACTATTGACTGGAATTACTCATTTATATAGTCACTACATGACCTAAAGTTCAAAGTGACTTCTGGGCTATGAGATTTTAACTTAGATTCTTACGCCTCTTTCTACTAAAACAACAAATAAGCATTCTGGACAATGACAACAATCTTGTGTCTGTATCTAGAGGTGCTTCTTAAATCCCCACGCCCAGGGAAGTAGCACCAAGTCAAGTAAAGGTATTTAACTGTCACCTAAATATTCACGTACCTGGATCTACGTTTTCCATTTGTTTCTCATGACTGTCATCAACGATGAGAAAATCTGGACACTCTATTTAAATTTCAAAAGATCTAGTGAGAGGTTTTGAAAGAATTACTTCCCAATTCATGCTGGAAAGATTAAACAAGGCAGCAGAGGTGAGCAGCTGCTTGTGTTTCCTAGAACTTGGAAACAGAAGAGCTGCCTCAGATGTTTCCATGGGAGGCGGAAGATATGAGAAAAGGGGAGGAGGGGGTGGAGAAGCTTAGACACCTCCTCCCAACCCACCAGGACTTCAAACAGGGCAGCTCCACATCTGTTTCATGTATTAGGATTTTGTTTAAGAATTAATTTGCTAAATTCTGGTTCCACAGGCACATCCTAAAAGGCTTGAAACATCTGAGGGCCATTCACGCAAAATGACATGGCCCATATGACCTAGTCACTGTGAAACAAGGACCCCAGCCCAAGTTGTCTGCGTTCCAGCACAAGCTCCCTTCACCAACCCACATCCCCCTGACTTCCTACCTCTCATCTCATTTAATCCTCACACCAGCCAGGCAAAGTAGGTATCATTAGCCTTATTTTATGGANTGGACTGTGTAGAGATGAGCGACACTTATCTCCGATGTTGGATATTTGCTTGGAAAAACGTGTGGGTACGACCTTGGTAAGGAACTTGATCTTTGTAAATCTCAAATTGATCCGAAAACTTTTTTTTTTTTTTTTTNATAATTTCCTGCAAAATAAGGCCAATGTAAAACTTTTTTTTTTTTTTTTTGGCTAGCGTAGTCGCAGTAGAAACCAGAAAGGCTTCTGCTTTAAGGCACTTAGAACTGTCAAACATTTATAAGACTTTTTCCTTATGAATCATTAACCCTTTCAGTTCTAGGCGTAATTGTCAATGCACTGAAATTTCAGTAGTGCCTTCTGCCCACCCCCGTCAAACAAAGTAACTATTCCGGGTTGGCTTGATTTTTAAATTTTGTTTTTATTTTAACGTTGATTTGGCATCATGACTGTGCATGTTGCAACTAAATAACAAGCTAAGAGTGTTTAAATCGGAACCGAGGGGAAGATGACTTCGCATCTGACTTTTTTTTTTTAATAAAAAGCATCCTGCTTAAGGAGATAGGAGAAGGTGGAAGCCACCCTGAAGGACTCGCGCGGGGTTATGTGTACACTCTAAGTGGGACACGCTCTTACATGGAAATGATACGCATGTTTCTACTTTTTATCAAACATGTGTATATGGGAAAGCATCTCAGAAGTTGTTTACCTTCTCTCCGTCTCTCTCTCTCTGGAAAACACTGTCGCGCGTGAGGAGAGACTTGCGGGAATCTCTTGATCCACTTACAAGTGGAAGCAGAGGGAGTCCTCTGAGTCTTCTCTATTTGTTGTAACTTTAGTTACAGTAAACTGTAGCACATCAGCGACTTCTGGGAATTTGTACACTTTCAGATTTAAATGGAAAGTGCTATTTGTAGCCGAGGGCTCCTGAAGGAATTCTCTCCCGGGAATTCTGTTGAACAGTTTCATGTTTTGTTTTTTGCTTTTTCCCTTTGGCGTGAGATGCCCACGAGTCTAAAGACACTGTGGGGCTTTGTCCCCCCCCCCATCTTTCCTCCTCTTTTCCCATGGTCCAAACAATTTCTGAAAAGCTGCACCTCGGTGATGCGGGCAGGATGCAAGCCTTTCCAGACTTCAGAGAATGAAAGAGCACACAGCAGAGGGGGGGGGCAAGTTGTTTTGAAAGTTGTTTTGCGTTGGGAGCTGGTGGGAAAGTTCAGTCTTCCCCATTTGGAAAAGGCAGGCCGGTTCCGCTCCTGCACCACACGCGCTTTCCATTTTTAGCTTCATTCACAGGCAGACAGAGCTCCTTCCTCTTCCTCTCCTTGTTTGTGACACTTTTCTGAGGCAGCTTTTCCACAGAGCTGAGGGTCTGGCAGCCATGACCCCAGGCGCTCTGGGACACAGGACTGAGCGCCCACAACATTTTTCTGCCGTGAGAGGTAAAGCCAGGGATTGTTCAGAGGTGGTTCTTTTTTTTTTTTTTAAATTTGTCCCCCCCCCCCATG